AAATTTAACTAATTTATGAATCAATTTCAATGATGAAAGATTTATTCAAATATGTTTTAAACTGCAAAGTAAAACATCAACTAGTAGGCGGTTCTAAGTCCAAGGCTAAAGCAGTCGAAAGGAAAGAAGATGGCCTTGAAAGTGTGCGGCGGTACATTATGCAGCTTCTTAACTTCTATAAAGCGCAATTCCGGTTATGCATGGAGAACTGTTGTCACATATGAGCTGGTGCTGCAAAATCCCAACTAAAAGCGTTGGATTGAAGAGGCCGTTTCCTGCTTCCCCCAGGCAAGCGCCCATTCTTATTAAAAGCTGTTTTATTTGCTGTTGGTTCATTCGCAGCAGATCATCTACCGTCGTGTCAGTCAATGCCTCAAATTAATTTCAAAGCAAGTATTGTGAGTTTTATTGCGAGTATAGACTTTTTTTTAAATAAAAACGAATTTTACGAATTAATTCTAGACACGCTCCACTTTGGTTTGCATTTTATTTGATGCATGGTTCAGTTATTTTGTTTAAAATATATGACGCAGTTGGCTTTTTGCCAATCTGGTTGTTGCCGTCATGCATATATTGAAACAATGGTACCTTTGTGTAAATTTTGGTAGACACATGTTTTACAAATCAATTTTATCAAAAATATGTTTGTCCTTTAACACAAATAAATACTAAAAAAAGATTAAATCGAGCCAACTTAAGGTCCGTTGCATTCTTCACCAGTTGATCTACAATAAAAAGAATAATATAAATTAATTTAAATATTTGTACGTGGTAGAGCCATGCTGCAGTTATATTAGTAGTATAGTTGTAGCACGAATGGGTCGGCTCGACCGGGGAAGGACCACGCTCTCACAGAATACCAGCGTGGAATAGTAGCTTAATGCTGCTGTGTTTCGTATGGTGAGTGTAGAGAACCGGAGATCCTCTTTACTGGAAACGAGGTATTCCATCTTAGTCCTCACAACGCATCTGCATTTTGATTGGTAATCGAGGATAGATGCAGATGTCTATGGGCCACAGCCACCACTTACCATCATGTGGACTGTGCGCTCGTTTTTCACCCTATCCTATAAAAAAAGAAAGCAATAAAAATACCCACTACTATTACTACTCCACAGTTGAACATGTGCTTTCTCCATAAACTGCCACAAAGGACGGTCCTGAGTCACCTGCATTCATCTACTGCCTGTGCATGTATTTCATAAGGTCGTTACTCCATCTAGTGGGAGGTCGCCCAACTCTGCGCTTGCTCTATAAGGTCAGTACTGAGAGATAGGCAGCAGCTTCTTGACAACAGCTTAATAAAAGAAACTGCGGTTGTAGCTATGGCATAAAAAATGTTGATAACGTTTGTATAGTATTCGCAAATCCATTTTATAAAGATAAAGCATTTAAACAAGGTCTTTCCGACATAGGTTTTGGCCTATTTTCTATTTAAAAAGGTGTCGTAGATGAAACGGGAAATAAAAGCTTTGTCCAACATTTTGTGAAAGGAACAGGGGCTATAGAGGTGTCAGAGATTTTCCAACCCTAGGTCTTTGTAACCACTGCAAGGCAAAATACATTTTTATGGTATATTTTTTTACCGACACCGTTACAGCCTATTGAATCAGCCTATTGAAGCTGAATAAACCTCCTTCAAAGTTTGCCTCATATGGGGAATAGTTGCAATCAGTTATTAAATTTTATAATAAGTTCAAAATTGTTATAGAATTAAATAAAATCAACGTCACAATATTATATACACACAGTCCACCTAATGGTGTGGTTGCTGCTGCCCATAGACATCTACATCTGTACTCAATTACGAATCAAAATGCTGATGCGGTCACCCATGTGGACTACGATGGAATGCCTCGTTTCCAGTGAAATGGGTCTCCGCTCCGGTTATCTACACTTACTATACGTAACACAGAAGCATTGAGCTGCTATTTTACGCTAGTATCCTGTATCCCGTGAGAGCATGGTTCTTCCCCGTTCGAGTCGACCCATTCGTGCTACAGTCATACTACTAATATAGCTGCAGCATAGCTCTACCATATGATATTTGTCATCAAATTCCATAATTTTCCGTTTTAGTTCGCATATGTTCTCCGGGACTTCTTACGCGAAGTATACTTTACAAACAAAGGGAGTATAATCCTCATATTTTCGTGCAAGCTTTGTAAATCAGCGAACTAAAAACAAGCATGACAACGCAAACAAAATGCAAAGGCGTATGTAACGACTAATTTCTAGGTAACACACAGTCGAGTGTCATGTTTACAAGAATGAAGAGAAAAATATACTACAGTCATTAAATGTGTGGTTTTTTACGTTTTGTGTTACACAAAGACATTAAAAAGATACTGCCACCTTTTCTTAATATTTTTATAGTAGTTGCAATAACTAATGAGCACACATTTCTATGATATGGGAAGTGGATTCTTCAGCTAATAAATCTCCTTCACGCCACGCCTCACGTCACGCCTGAGCCCTAATGTGAAATGCGTCTTTACCCATAAAATACTTCTCCAATTTTCGTCATTCTCCTTACGAAATACAGCAGCATTATGCCTCTATTTCATGCCGGTAGTCAGTAAGGTATATTTCTATATGGTTCGGGGTCTTGCATTTGAAGAAGTTGTAGTATGTGTTTAGTGTATGCTCATGTAGCTATATATATGATAGCCTAATAGACATTTAGAGTTAGTAATAAACCTACATTCAAGACCGCTAGACGTTTAATGTATTCCTCGAACCTCCCAACATTACATGGCGACCCTGCCAGTCGGTGCGCGCGCGACTCCGCTCGCCGCGTGCACCGGCTGGCCACCGATAGTAAAATTATAACAAATACATAAAAAATCGTTAAATAAAAGTTATGACACATGAACATATGACACATTCCCGGATTGAGAACCTTTTTACTGGAAACGAGGCATTCCATCTCAGTCCTCACGGGTGACAACGCATCTGCATTTTGATTTTTAATGGAGGATAGATGTAGATGTCTATGGGCCGCAGCAACCACTTACCATCAGGTGGACTGTGTGCTCGTTTGTCACCCTATTCTATAAAAACAAAAAAAAATTGAGAAAACTAATTAAAGTCGTGTAGAGCCAGCCATCAAAAAGTTATGTGTTTGTGAATAAATAGTTATAAAATAAAATTAAAACATAAGAAGTATAAAATCAAAAGGCAAAGATGCATCAAAAAGGAGAAGAGAGGATAAGAGAAATAACTTTTTTCACTCCGGATAAGAAGAATATTGGTTGAGAAGATCTAAATTGAAGTACGCAATGGTGTTCACAAAGGAAATTTTACATTATCAAGATATATACACAATTTTCAAAAACTCGTAACAACCAAGGAAAACAAAATGAAGATATTTTTATTTTAAATTATCATGAATTTAATCGAGTGGCCGGTTATTAGGAGGACTGAATTTTTCGTGTACTCCATATTACGTACCAGAAAACAGGAAGTATTTTATTTTCAAGAAACATAAAAAAAAAATTTAATAGAGACTGTAATGTAAAAAATATGCTTGATGTATCTACAAAATAATTACTGTATAAAATGCAAATTATATGATTATATTTTAAGGTGAGTGATTTTAATTAAGTATTTATATCTTTTAAAATTCTAATTTCATAAAATTAAAAATATAATAACTTTAGTCACCAATCATATATTTTTACCATTTTTTATTTTTTAACTCATTTTGTTCATTTAATAGATGGAACACTCTCAATAGAAAGCAAGTGCTGTTTGTGTATTCATATCCTTATTATTTTGCGTGATTACTTTAATTATCTATTTGGTTCTAAAATACTTAACATAACGAATGAAAAAGAGGAACTTTATTTTATTGCTATCAGATAAAAGACAACTTATGAATAAATTTTGTAAAATATAAATTGATCGATGAATAATATAAATTTTAAACGCAGCTTAACTTAATAACTCAAAAGAATATTAACTGATATATTTTATTAATAATGAAAATTGCAATATTTTGTACAGATATTGTTTAAGAATTCATCGAAATGTAATATCATGTTTTCTTTGTATTAACATTGCGCATCAAATTCTAAACAATGCTGACGTGATCTTTTGCATATAAGGCATCGGAATATTACACGTAGTTGATACAGAATGATGCACTAATATATACACTACTATTGTCTCCTGACTTGCCTTCAAAATATTGACTTTATACTTTTTCATTCACTTTATCTACGATTAAAATCCAGTATTCAATTGATAAAAAAGACTTGATAAAATAAACTATTATTTTGTAATACAAAACTGTATAGTAGTTCGATACTTTTTTTGAGATAATATGATTATTGAATTTAGGTAATGGCTCTAAACTCTAATGACTTATGAACTATTGAAGCTAAGACAAATATTAAACAACTTATATGACAAAAAAATGCGATGTGAATTAATGATGTCAAAACATAAAGTTTATGAAGTGGGGAAAAAACAATTATTTGTGCCTTTGAAGTATTAAAAGCAATTAAAAGATTCTTCCTTCCGTGATTTCGCCGAGAGCGGACGTGTGCGAGCGCGTGTGTCAATAAGGCTCAAAATAGCTAAAAATTATCAATAATATTAAGAACATTTGACTACTCAACACCAGCGATCGGCTGCGGTGGGGAACGTGCGAGTGAGATAATAGACTTAATAATTGCCTTCTCGTTCCTGCATCGCATCTTTGCTCACTGACGCAGTAAGCGGTGCCAAAAGAAGACGGATGGTGCTTGTTTTTCATCTCTTTCGTCCCTGCATGATCGTTGTAACTACGTCAACCGCCGTAGCCACAACTACTACGTTTGCTACTAAATACATGCTACGAGACTACGACATTAATTGAAGCATACCTACCACCAGCCATCACACTTACTACAAGTGTCGCCGTAACTCTCGACTATAAAAAAAAATAACTTATCAATTTGTTCCACACTTCGTTGAGCTGAAAATAAGTTTGAGGCCCTACGAGAACTCTGAAAATGTTTCGAACACCGGAAAAATGCAATTCTGATTCCAACCTGCCTAGGGTCCCCGATGACAAAGAAACATCGCCTCCCAGTTTTGTCAGCTCACGAATTAAGAGAAAGCGCTCCGAAGAAATTCTGACCGATTTAGCGGACTTTAAGGCAGAAATGAAAGAAATGATTACTTCATGGATGGATCAGCAAAACAGCGAAAGAACAGAAATAACATCTGCGTTGAGATCCATAGAGGAATCACTGTCCTTTCTCTCAACCAAATACGACGACATGTGTAAAAAAGTGGACCTTATGGAGCAAGAGAGGCACAAACAGAAGGAATATATTACTATACTTGAAAATAAAGTGGAAAATCTCATGAAAGCCCAACGTAAATATTCATTTGAACTGAAAAATGTCCCAAGATCGGAAAAGGAATCCAAAGAAACGTTGTTGAACATGGTAAGCAACTTATTTACATCACTTAAGGTCAATATACAAAGTAATGACATTAAGGATATATATAGGACGACCATACAGGGCGATAAAAAGCCTATTGTTGTCGAAATGTCAACTTATGCCCAGAAAATGAACATTACGAGCGCCGCTAAAATGTACAATAACCAAAATAAGAATAATAAATTAAATACCCAGAACCTAGGTCTAAAGGGAACATGTACCCCTATTTTTATCTCTGACCATCTCACACCTAATGGTAATAAACTATACTACTTAGCGAGGGAATTGTCAAAAAATCTGAAGTATAAATATTGCTGGACCTCGGTAGGTGAAGTTTTAGTGCGGAAAGACGATTCATCCCCGATCATAAAAATTATGAATGAAGCACAAATAAAAGGTATTTATGAGGCCAACAAATGACTATGCATGAACAGTGTATTTAGTTTCAAGTGGATCCATGTCTTACAAAGTGTTCATGCAATTATTACAGGTCATATAGTTAAATTTTTTCGTTGTATGTTGCACCTATGTTCTGTTAACTCTGTTTTTGCCAGTTATTCATTCATAACCTACACGCTTTTCTTATCACACACTTACCTTAATACTTACTCCATCACACCAACACATATTACACTCACACACTTCTCTATAAAAGTTCTGTTTTTACTAGCTAAACATAATACCTTGCAGTTACACTGTGGATTGATTGCAATTATTAACTTTGATCTGAGAGTCTGGAATAACCAATGCAGGTATATTATTTTTCACTTTTATTCTTTCGTGGTAATCATCTACCTACAACTCCTTTATACAAATGATATTAAATTAATATCTGTTAGACTAATTCACAACACACATAAAAACTACTTAATTTTTTATGGATAATCTGTCCCATCCGTATAATGATATAGAAAATATTAGTATAGCTCAGGCCGTCACTTGCGCGCCTGAAGAGTGTTATTTACACATTTCAACAAAAAGTCACCTAACCATTCTCACCCAAAATATAAGGAGTATATACAAAAATCTTGATATTTTTCAAACTATGCTCCACTCAACTAAAACCGATTGCGACGTACTAGTTATGACTGAATGTCATCTCTCAAAAATAAAAAGTATTCCCAAACTAAATGAAAATTATAACACACACTTTACAAAAAATACCTTAAACCAATGTGATGGCGTAGTATTTTATGTAAAAAATAATCTAAGCTTCAATGTATTTGAACCGAACATTACAAACGCGTCCTGCCTTGCACTGACTCTTTACGATACTGTTATAATCGGCATTTATCGCACTCCATCTATTAGAAATACTGACGAATTCGTATCATCCCTTCAATCTCTTCTCATACAGTATAATTGCTATCCGAATATTATTATAACGGGTGACATAAACATCGACATCAAAATCCACTCCAAAGATCCAAACTGTCATAACTATTTAACATCACTCGCTTATTATGGGATACTCCCAGCTCACAGGCTCCCAACACGTGTTAAAATGTGCTATGATCACATGATGCTCAAAACGTCTCACCCTGCTAAATCACTTGTTCTTACTAACCCTACCACTGACCACAGTACAGTCATTCTTGACGTGATGTTTGAACCTCTGCGACGCAATCTGGCTCCAAAAACAAAAATCTCAATAAATTTTGATGCCACTTTGAATGACATTAAGGCGGACTTACCTGATATATTAACAATAACAGACCCTTCTGAAGCTGCCCAGGTTTTGGTTAATAAAATCTCCACTGCGATTAAAAACAACCAAACTATAAAAAGTGTCCCTTCAAGAAAGATACTTATCAAGCCCTGGATAACCCCAGGAGTTTTACGTTGCCTTCGCAATCGCGACAAACTTCATCTTAAACTAAAAAAGAATCCGTATAATGAAATCTTGAGAGTAACCTATACACGTTATAGAAATTATTGTAGTAAACTTGTTCGAAAACTTAAAATAATGCACGAAAGAAACAATTTAACTAGGGCTAATAAAAATCCTAAATTACTGTGGAAAACTATAAAATCTATATGTAACATAAACAATAATAAAAATGACCACATATATAACCTACTCTCACTTAAATCCACACCGTTGGAAGTTGCAAATTTTGCTAATAATTACTTCTCTAACTTAGGTAAACGTCTGGCTGAAAACTTATTACCGTCCCCTATGTCTTATAATTCTATTCATGGCATAAATAACATTAAATGTCCCTCTTCATGCAATTCCTTTGTTCTTTTAGCAACAGATACAGCAGAAATTAACACAATCATCTGTAACTTATCTAACGACTCCGCCCCCGGGTGGGATAACATCCCTACTGCTTTTATTAAAATGGCCAAAAATTATCTCACTCCTGTCCTTTGTCACGTGTATAACCTCTGTTTCGAAAAAGGCTGCTTCCCCTCTGTTTTCAAAAAAGCTATTGTTACACCCATCTATAAAAGTGGAAATAAAGATGAAATCGAAAACTATAGGCCTATCTCTGTACTTCCAGTTCTGGCAAAAATTTTGGAAAAGCTTATTAACAACCACATTAACAAATTCCTTTACAAAAACAGCTTGCTATCAGATAATCAATTTGGCTTCAGAAATGGCGTCTCCACTGAAGACGCAGTTCTGGCACTTTCCGACACTATCTGTAAGCACCTAGATGCAGGCTATAAATGTGTCGGCGTCTTCCTGGATCTTGCAAAGGCGTTCGACTCTGTTTCAATTCCAACATTATTACATAAACTATATCACATTGGCATAAGAGGGACACCCCATAAACTATTCACAGACTACCTAACGAATCGCCTACAGCATCTAAAACTTGGTGACGTTATCAGCCAGTCATCTCCCATTACTTACGGCGTTCCTCAAGGCAGTGTACTCGGCCCGACATTGTTTTTGATATACGTGAATGACCTCTGTAGCCTCAAACTTCCCAATTGCGATATATTTACTTATGCGGATGATACCGCGCTGATCTTCAGTGAAAAGAGTTGGGATTCTCTTAGAATTACGACTGAATCAGGATTACGACATATATCAAATTACTTAAGATCACATCTATTAACACTTAATGTATTAAAAACCCAATTTGTTCCTTTTACGATACGAAAATCTACCTTACCACGCTCGGACTTTGCTCTCAAAATTCATAGCTGCTCCCAACACCAGGTGAAAAGCTGTCAATGTGTTGATATTGCTAGATCGTCTACTATTAAATATCTGGGTATCACTATTGACCAGCATCTTATATGGAACAAACAAATTGAGTGTACCATCGACAAGGTAAGAAAGCTTATGTGGGTTTTTAGAAGGCTCAGACATGTCGCAGATAATAAAATCCTTATATGTACGTATAAAGCTCTAGCCCAATCTGTCTTAAGCTACTGCATTACAGCTTGGGGTGGAGCAGCTAAGTCCTATTTAATAACTCTTGAAAGGGCTCAGAGAGCATTACTGAAAGTGATGTTCTTAAAACCAATCCGTTTCTCAACTCACGAACTACACAAATCTTACAAAATCTTAACAACCCGCCAAATGTACATCTTAAAGAGTGCTATAAGAACCCACAGCACTTTACCATACACTGCCCCCCAGACACTAAAACGTAGAATTCTACCTGTTTTCAAGATTCCATATTGTAAAACCAAATTTAAGAAAAAACAATTCGCCTATCAATCAAAACATCTATATAATAAATTAAATAGTAGGCTTAATATGTATCCCCTCACTTGTGCTAAATTAAAAAATTTGCTAACAACTACTCTGCTTAGCCTTAATTACGAAGAAACAGAACTGCTTATTCGCTAAACTCACACACACACACACACACACACACAAACGCTTACACACACACACATACACACACACACACACACACACACACACACGCACACTTTCACTCTTTCTTAAGTATCAAAAATCTCATCAATTCATGTCCATGTAATATCCTATGTTTCAATTTGTTAAAATGTATCTGTTGGAAGAGCGGGGTACCCCGTAACACAGGTTTAACAACCCAGTACAGGGGCCCTTGCCACTTGTTTGTTACTACCTTTTGAAACGCAATAAACAATTTTTAATTTTAATTTTAATTTTAATTTTAATTTCTAACAGGTACACTATCGATCATGTTGTATATTAATCATTATATATATTTTAACAGTAGTGTGAATTACTAGTAGTTTGATTTTGTTGATCACTAGCTCACTTTGAAAGAAGCGAAGAAACATTTATTAAGAACATTTCACACATATAATTAATTAAGGTATAACAAAATTAGGCTTGTAATGTTCGTTGGGTTTTATGGATAGGGTTGCCAACCCTTACTAAATAACATAGTATCTTACTATGTTAGTTTAGGAACTGAAACAAAGAACTGTTTGCACAAAAAAGTAAAAGAAAGGATAGAAAAAAAAGTCTTAAGTCTAAGTATAGAAAGGAAACTGTATGAGAGTGGTAGTATTGATAGATGTGATGACACTAAGGTTGTGTTCAAATATATTGGGATGGTGTATACATTAGAAAAGAACAGTAAAAGTATTTGTAATCGGCTAGATCAACTGATGAACAACTATGGTTGTGTTAATTTTTTTTCTCTTAAAGAATGTTGAGGTTTTGGTATGTATGTGTGTAAGTTGAAGACAGACTACGGCAAAGAAAGGAATATAATAAGTATGGATTTTAAATGTTGTAATATATGTCGTATATGTAGAATGATTTATGTGATGTTTAGATAAATTATTAGAAACTATGCAATTTTAATATTAAAATTTTGCTAGTTATTGGAATGAAAGAATTAGGCTATCGGATATTATCTTAGCCAATGTTTAGGGCCCAAACTCTGGTTATGTTAATAAACCGATATGCATAATTGAAAGGACAACTATGGTTGTGTTAATTTTTTTTCTCTTAAAGAATGTTGAGGTTTTGGTATGGATGTGTGTAAGTTGAAGACAGACTACGTTAAAGAAAGGAATATAATAAGTATGGATTTTAA